TCACGGACATTAAAAAGAGCCTGGTGTGACCACAGGATAAACACAAGCTGATAAAATGCAATGTGTGTGTGTGTGTGTTTGTGTGTGTGTGTGTGTGTGTGTAGGGGCGCACATATAATTTTGTGTAAAAGAGGGTGCATCTGTGTGTGTTCGCAAGTGCATTGGGAGTAGCTGCGGGATATTGCTTTTTGTAAAAAATAGTTCAATGAGAGTCCCGGTGAATTCAACTCCAGAATAATTTATTTGTAGAAGAATGGAGCCACACAAACTTTAAAATAGGAGCCTACATAATCAATAATGACTAGATGTGATGAAAGACTTTTCGGAAAGAGAGAAAGCGTGACATGAGTAGAAGACGAGGACACTCTTTAAAACGGGGCATGTTTAGTCGATTCTCTATTAACAGAAATTTAGGGAATGAGGCAGGGTAACACATAGAGACATACAACCGTTCATGCAAACATTCACACTTCCATGCAGTTTAGAGCTGTCTGTTAAACTAACCTGCATGCCTTTGGACTGTGGGAGAAAACCCCTGCACCGGGGGAACATGCAAACTCCACACAGAAGGGGCCAAGCCAGCCGATGAGTTCAAACCCAGAACGTCTTCCTGTGAGGCAACTGCACTAACCACTGAACCATCAATTTGGGATCCACTAACTTGTGACGAGCATTGTTTTTGACATTTTAGAGACGATTGGGCAACATGTCCAAAACGATGCACATATGTGCCTCCTTTTTAATACTACACTGGTTGTCTGCATACATGGACGTGGTCGCACGGGTTTGTCGTCACACAGAACAGTATGAACTCTTGTGGACATTGAAGTCCTTGCACAGTTGCTGTTAAGATATTATACACTGATGCAAAAAGAAAAAAGGGTTTGTAGAAAAAAGTTGTATATATGGATAAGTTTTTTTGTTTTCAACACCAAAACTCAAGTACTGGTATTGAAGAATATTACTCTACCCGACATATTATGTAAAAGCCATGGCAAAAAAATTCCTCCATATCCCCCAGTGAGAGGGAAGGCGAGGTGGATTAGAAATCCAGGGAGGGAACAGAACGAGGGAGAGAGACAGAGTGAAAATAGCTGTCTGGGTCCCCCGAAGGTTGGCCAGTTATTATAAAGCCATTGTGGTCGGTGTGTACGTTTGCACAGATCCTTCTGAGTCACGCTCAATAAGTCAGCCCTTATGGTCCTGGCACTGTCAGGCCCCAGGATGGGAGGAGGGATAAGGGTGCACAGGCACCTGGCTCACATCCTTAACCCACTACCTCTTCCTCCTCCTCTTCCTCTCAACACACACACACACACACAACTCTGAAAGAGTACACAGAGACAGAGACACTGTCCTCCCCTTCACAACCCTCTGCGGGGTGATTCCTGGCCAAACAAGGAAGGAAAAGCCAGGTGGGCGGAAGGGCAGGATGGACAGAATGATGGAGCGGGCAGGCAGAACAAAAGACGGGTGAATGACTGTAGGCAGGGCATAATGGGGGTAATGATGGGTGGGTGAAATGATGAATAAGAGAGAGACAGTGTCTGAAAGTAACATTGAGAGGGAGAGGGAAAATGAGAGTGAGGGTGAGACTTTGAGGGGTGTAATGAGAGGGTCAGTGTTGGGCATGCATGGCCTGAACTGGGATACTGGGCCAATTCATATAACTGCTGCTAAAAATAGGTTTCTCTGTAGCAGAGGAAGGGCTTGCACTGCTCAAACCTCTCCTACAGTGCTGGGGCACTCACATTACTAGCAACATATACAGTGAAAAGCACACACGCTTGTGACTTACCGCATGATAGTTCACACATATTGTACACTTATATCTAATTATAAATATCTTATGTCTTATTGAAAGTTGGTACTTTTGTCCTTCATGGCAGCAATCGGGTTGAATTCATGTAGATTAGAACAGTGACAAGTATTCGGAGTGGAAACGTGTCTGACAATATCTGTAACTTTCCAAAACCAACAATCAGAAAGCGATTGACCTGGTGGGTGGAGGTGAGAAAGCTTTTCGCCCCACCTTTGACTATGGCTGTTCTGAATAGCTATAAACATTTTTCTTCAGATGTGGTCAGACGACACATAGTTAGTTTTGAGCTCACCCCAGTCTTTATCCAATTGCTTCACAATCCATTTGTTTGCTCATTTCAAATAGTCATTGCTCCCCCAATATATGGCTGAATTAAGGCCTCTTCACACAGGAAGCGATTTACGCACCTCGTAATTGAAGGAGGCACGGGCATTGCGACAGGCGTAGCGACAAGTGGGCGTGTTCCCGTGAAACTGTCTCGGTCGTGCTCGTCTCACGCACACGCCTGCCGCCCGCTGCCAGAGTTGAATTGACTTTTTGTTTTGCGACACACAGCTCAAATCAATGGAGGCGAGACTGATTCCTCGCTGTTTGTGAGTTTCCAGAAATCTATCACTGTTTACTAAATATTTATTACGACATCAGCAGGAGGGAATTCGCATGGCAGAGCATCCCCACAAAACTGAATGTATCAGGTAAAGTTATGTATAATTTTAAGTTAAATAGGCTGCAGCTGTTTAGTGCACAGAAGCCGTTGCCATGGTTACTATGCACAGAGCGCCTGCCGTTTACTCGCGGAGCGCTTGTCTCTGTGTCTGTTCACATGAGAAGCGCAGAGCAACCCCGCAGGGCCGAGCGACTATGCAGGCGGAGTGTCACTTCCCGTGTGAAAAGACCTTTAAAGCTTGCACAGTTAGCAGCTTAATGACCGAAGCCAACATTCAGTCGTCACAAGTGCCAAGAGTTTCAAATGACAGTAGTGTATGCAGCCTTATTTTGGTAGAAAAACTGGTGTTTGCAACAATACTGAGCATAGTATGTGGAGTGGATAGTGAGGAAGCACAACATTCCCCATCGGAATCCATTTTAACTGACATGAATCTAATCTGACCACAGCTGTTGTTCCTTATTAGCCCTTTTCTAGGAACTCAGGACCTTTTTCTGCATATCGACCAGATTAACCTGTTTCCAATCTTCGTCTCTGCCTGCCATAAGTCCGTGCTCCGCAGTTAGTACTTTCTGGTGGCCCCTTAACTATCAGTGTAGCTCTGCACTGGTCTCCCTGATTAAATACAAGCCTCAAAGCAGAGTAAAACTTCTCTACTGTGTTCATTCTTGCCTTTCTGGCATTTGTAACCTCCCTTTCATTTGCACGTTTGCTTAATTGAAACATAATCATATTTCTGCATCACAGAGTAGAATACAAAGAACAATCCATTGCATGCAAAATTAACAACACAAACAAACCCGTCACTTCTTTTTAATCTGTGATTGGTCTGCTTTGCCTTCACGGTTCTTCAGAAGTTGTTGTAAACTAAACACAAATATGTTAGAGGAACTTTTGGTCTCCTTTTCCACTGCATGTCTCACACAATGACTCTATGCTGTTGTTTCTTTTTGTGTGAAAACCGTTACCATTATCGGTCTAATTTGCCTAATCCTCACAGTGAAAACACAAACAAAAATCCACAAATGGGACTTAAATATAGTTCTTTTTTAAATTCCTGTTGATCCTTCATTCCAAGAACTACTTGGTGTAAAAGCTGTGTTAGTTCCCAATTTAATTCCTGGTTCTATTTGGTGGAAAAAGTCCCTATGAAAGATGAAACTACCAGCTTTTATCAGCCACCTTTCAACAGTTGGTGCCAACTTGAGATTGAGATTTATCACTTTAGGATGCTGAGGCAATTTATGTATCATGTGTTTGGTTATGCCCCTTTTATCCTCTGCTCTGTCCTTCACTCCTCCACCCCTCACCCCTTCCCATCCACCTCCTTTCCCCTTATTCCTTTCTTTTCACGGTATTGTCACCCTTGACGGTTCACGCGGTCTCCTCTTCGCTGTGTTTCCGGTCATAAATCTCTGAAACACACCGTGAAGGCACATCCCCTTGGATGGATATAAAACAACACCCTGCACCCCACCGGCTCTCTGAGAAAAGGGCGACAAGGGCTGGCACACTGCTGCACAAACACAGAGACACACACACAAGAAATGACAATTTCTTGGTAGTTATGTGTTGATGAAATCCAGGAAAAGACCAAGGATGAGTCTGATTTTAATAAAAGTAACAATGAAACCGCACTTTGGAGACTGGGAAAGAGTGAGGTAAGAATCTGAGGGGATGATTTTATTCTGTGTGTGTCTGTTATGGCTCGAGTTGGTCTCTGACTCATGGTGCTTGTGGGGGGGGGGTTTGGTGACTCATGCGTTTCTCAGAATGAGCTCTAGTTCAGTGAAATCCCTCCGATAAGGTTCCCAACCCCAGGAAATCGGGTGGTGGCTCAACAAAGCCCCACCACTCCTCCCCTCCATCCGCCACCATCCCCATATAACCCCTCCTCCCACTCAGGTCAGCACCCACCAAAGTACTCCAACGAGTTTCCTCTTTTTTTCCCCCTTCTTACAAATGAGCAGGTCATGGGTGGCCCGAGTCTGCTGTACCACGGACAAGAAAAACTAGACCAGTGACAGCCTGCTTGTTTTTTTTTTACCTCACCAACAGCACCCCACACCTACACACCCTCACCAAAACTACCGCCGTCAAACAAGCGCCATACATACAATCCCCTGCTGCCACATCTACCGTGCCACACACACTCGCAGACCACATTCTTACATCCCTACCCCCCACACTCTCCCACATCACACACCCACAAACACACCTGACCGACTTCATTTCCTGTGAGGCATGAGTCAGACGGCTGCAGTGCATTTACCGGGGTAATACATGGTTATTAGCCATTCTGATAATATAGTGTTGATGTGGCTGTCAAGGCAACCTGAGCTGCAAAAAAAGGGGGATTGTGAATGCGTGGGTGGGTGGGATGAGTCTGTGAGGATTCTTTGGAAGTGTTCAGGCATGCGGCGGGTCTATTTGCATATAAACAGGTGTGTGTATGTGTGTGTGTGAGAGAGAGAGAAAAATAGAGATGAAACAGCAGGGAGAGCCACTCACCTGTTTTTTCTTGTAGAAGCCCTTTCTGTCACAGTTGGGTATGCGGAAGCCTCTTGGGTTGAGCACGTTGTTGATTTTAAGACTGCTCAGGATGCTCTCCATCTCCCGTCGACACGGCCCCTAGCGACACGGCAAGCACACCCCGACACCAATATTACACACTCATCCTTACACAATCACAGACATGAAGAACATTAAAAGTATTCACGCAATTATAGAAGTTTACGGAGAGCATCAGAGTCAATAAAAATGTACCTCCTGACCCGAATGTTCCATTAACTTTCCCTCTAAGTAGTTTTACTAATTTTCTCATACTGTATGTTCACATATTTTTGGTATCTGCTTGTTAAGATCCTTTAAGCTATATTTAAGATATACTAAACCAAGGATGGCCATCATTTTCATGGCTGCAAAATCACATAAAATCAACATAAAATAATCTTAATGTATTTTTTTTTCAAAGGTTTATGCCAGTTTTGGAAACTTTAAGATTTTAACTAAAAAGTGTAAACAGTGCTTGTCTGAACGACACCAAGCTGCAGAGATGATCCCACTGTTAGGGCCAGATTGAAGAGGTAAAGTTCAAAATTAGATGTCAGCTTTCTGGAAAAAGTGGTACTATCTCTTGCAAAATGTTTAATAGAACATAATCAAACATTATGTTGTTTAAATGATAGTAGACAACTAAACTTTTCTGATGCATGAGGCTGCACAAGTACACCACCTACCCAGGTGGACAATGATATGTTTCTTGCCAACTGTATAGGCCAGTGTGGCCTTCAATGTGCCATTGAGAGCCAGTAGCCTGTAGGGATACATACCAACAAATGACTTCACCAGCTGATTTCCCAAATGAGTTCTCCCTCTTAGGATTGCTAATCAGTGGGTGGAGTCTTAGGTTGAAATAAAGAAACCTGCAGACTGATTCGCCCTGGTGGCCTGGGAGTTCATGTACAGCCAGGGGCCTTTGTTTGTATGCATTTCTTTGTTGCGTGTAACTCCCCATCTCTCTCTCTCCCCTGAATAAATGCATAGAATCCCTAAAGAACGTTTTTAAAATTACAGACTGCTGTCTCTCCATGTCATAAAGCAATGAAGACAGTTTACTCTCTTCTGGTTTACTTGGAACCCAATGAACTGTCAAACAGTGCAATTCATGGATTTGCATGACACAAGTAAAGGTAGCTGCGTCTTTGAAAGGCCAATACTTAGGGTAACAAACCATTTGAGCACCTGGCTTACAGTTTTCAATCACTCACCTTGCATTCACCAGTTATGTGTGGTTCATAATGAACATGACACACTCTGTGAAAGGCCCTATTAATTCATTTCAAATTTGAATTTGTCCAAAGGTAAATATTGTGTACAAAATACAAGGTAGCTTATGTTAGAGAGCTAACGAGCCGTCTGCTTTCAGCCTCTTGATGACAGACTCTTCCCCCCTGTAATTTTTATGATTTCAGTTTTTGAATACCCAACTTCATCCATCCATCTTTAAATTTTAAGGACAAAATACAACGTAAACAGAGCTAACTAACGTTAGTTAGCTAGCAAAAACCCAGGTAAGCTAATCAAATATTAGCTGCTCAATGACAAACTTGTTTTTCACCTTGTGTGTAATGCTCATGATTTCTGTTTTCAAGAAGCTAACACTCTCAAGTTCAGATTCAGATGTTTGTGGTATGGTAATGGTAAATATTGTTAACAAAATACAAAGTAGCTCGAGGATTAACTAGCTAGAAAAATACCTAGCAAGCTAACAGTTCAGCTGCTTAATTCAAAAACATTTTTAAAATGTAGTTTACAGGGTACAAGACAGAAAGCAAGTCATTTTTATATTTTATTTTATTTATTTGTAAAGGACAATGGACAATATTAAACAGAAATGTTATTTGATGTATCGTACCAAAGTTAGCTTAAAGCTAATTTTCATCTACATCCATAGTGGGGTCACAGTGAACAACTGTGTTTATAAACCTCTGCCATTACTGTTTTTCCTCCAAATAGCAACACTATTACATTTTTAATAGCAATTTTATTGCCTCTGGGTGTGACTTACATACTCAGTCTCCCTCTTGTTCTCCAAGGAGAAGTTATGCATGTCCATATTGGCTCCTCCTGACACCGATTCCACCTTGTAACTCTGAGTCTTCCTGTTCTGATCTTTCTGGATCAGTTTGTTGTGCAGCGGAGGTCTCGTGTCCATCGACCCATGACTGTGCCCGCCCTTCACAGTCACCACACCAGGTAACACCGTCATCGTTGCTGTCACGTTGGAAGAAGGCTCTTCTAACCGATTACCAGCGTTCTCTGTATGGGTAAAGTTAAGTCACCGGTTTTCAAATGTTTCATACTTTCAGAACGATGCTGAAGTTCATACAATCCGTAGCTTCAGATTTAAAGGCTAAGATGAAAGATAAATGATAACATTTTGTGGCTTGTATCCTTTTTCCCCCACCACTGACAGGTGTGACTGTTATATAGGCTTTTGTAAAAGCCTCAAGGCTGTTTAAGACCCACTTAGAGATTTGTAAAACCTTCATTTTGGTTCTTAAAACATAAAAGGGTGACTCCACTTTCTCTGCATTGAGACTAGTGGTTTGACAAGTGTAAGTATGGTGGTTTTTAAATTAGACCGGGTCTTATGTGGTCATGATGCAAGAAAAGCATCTAAATCTACCCCTATTTCGCAAATCCTAAATTGGATTTTTAACAGCCTTATGGCTTTTATAACGATATCTTACGATAACCCTTTTTTACAACTCTATGTGGTGCAAAAACTGAATCAGCTCCTAAAAATAAAAATCTAAATTTATTTTTTTCTCAATTTTCCCCATAAAATCCGAAGCTATGAATTGGTAGCTGACTTCAGCTTCATAGAGTTTTTGTTGTTTACATTTCTTAAAACAAAGGATGATACATGAATTCTCTTAATCCAACAATTCTTGACTGTCTAAGAGAGGCCTGTTTAAAATAAAGTGTTAAAAAATAGTTAGCTCATTGCCTTGTGGACTGTTTGGCGACAGAGATGAAGCCAAGTAATAAACAGAAACATGACGTTTTCATATCCACAAATTTCCACAGCATGCAGACTGAGAGATACCGCCACAGAGAGGAACTGAGTGTAAACAAGACTTTTTAAGGACGCTGTGAAGAAGAAAAAATTTGTTTGTGAGCATGTGTGTGTTAAGATGTGTAGGATGGGGAATAAGGGTTAGGGACTAAAAGAGGAGAAGGTTAGGGCAGTAAGAGGTAAAGTGGGAGATGAGGGGGCAGATATATTAATAGCCCATGGTGCTGGCAAAGATTCCTGTCAAATCGTTAAAGACAGAGCGGGGACCATCGGACTGAGAGGAAGAGAGGAGGGGTCTCAAAACACTGCTCCCTAATATAGGAGAGGACCAAACAACCCGTCATGTGCCACTCGGTTGGCCACACCACCACAAGGCCACAGTCGGAGGAACTAAGCTGAGCTGAGCTTGGAAACGTCCCGAAGAGGCAGAGGGACGATGGGAACACACATGCAGTGGCTCACACACACCCAAACACAGTTTTAAACCGTTAACTCAAAGCAGATTTTGTGTTTGAGAGCTGTGGTGAGGGCGGTTGACGGGCATGTAGGGGTGTAGCTCATGTGGGCAGGCAGGCTGGCAGCCCACCCTTTCTCCGTGACCATCTGATCAATTAGTGACGTGGTGGGGCTCCACAGTCTCCCAGGCTCTCCAGAATAACAACATGGATGTCAACAACAGCATCAACTGGAACAAGACAGAGTCAGAAGGCAACAGATGCTCTTTAACTTGATACAGCCTGCACATGGTTTTTCTGAACTCAGCAACAATGCCCATAAATGTCCATAACCAAGTACAAAAATATTGAGCCCTTTATAAGATTCCTGCAAGCATTAATTTTTATTGTCAATATAAACATTTATATAACCTTTCTAGGAAGTCTGGGGCGTTTTAGATAAACACATTACGCAATTTGTTTGTATATTGGCACAGGGGTAAACAGCACAAACTGTGGTGAGGAGAGCTTGTTAATGTCTGGGAGGAGAGACTGCTCTGGAGCTGGGGACTGATGGCGGTGGAAACCACTGGGCTGCACTTACACACTCTTACCAACAGGGGTGCTTGGGATCATTTTCCACCTTTTTTTCTCCATCTCCAGTAATGGAGATACTTCAAATCAGCATGCATTGACACTTGTCTCGCTGCTTGTATTTGTTGTGTTCTGATTTACAAGCCTGAGAAGAGATATACGATGGGTCTCTTTGCTCCACGTTGAAAATAATGTTATGTATCTTAAATTAGAGGCTGCAAATAGTAATATACAGATATGAAATGACAGAGAAAGAGTGGAAGAGAAATAAAGAAAGAAATATACAGGATAAGTGATGGGAAGTGAAAAAGTAAGACAAGTAAAACAGTTTGGTCAAGTTGATGACAGTCTGTGAGTGTGTGTGTGCAAACTGATGGATGCACAAGCATGTGTGAGTGTTTAGCCTATGTCTGACAATATGACTGCTGAGTGCTTGCGCACCATACATTACTGTGGCCAAACCAAATAACCAGGAAGAAGAAAACACACACTGAGGCTCCTGGAGGCCTGACGTCAGCAGTGCCAAAACACACAGCAGTGTGTATTCACATGGAGGTGGCATGTGTGCCACTTCACCAGTGTGAGCAGCCTGCATCCATTCACACAAAACGACATGCAGATATCAGTATGAGCAGAGATACTAGCATGTGATGAGGAAATATGCAGTTTGGGCTGGGTGTGTGTTGGTTGCTTATAGGGATCTCAGAAATGACACACACACACTCACACACACACTCCTTTGACACACACCCAGGATGCTTTGGCCCACATCCTGGACCAGAAAGCAGCAGCACATATTTTCATGCTGTGTACAAAAATCCATGAGCTTTACTTGAAGGAAAATAAGGACATTACAGAAAACAAGGACGTGGTCTGCGCTCAGCCTCTGTATACTTACAGTATGTATATGGCATTCCTTAACTATTGGTTTGAGGGAGCCAGGCTGTGTGTGTGTGTGTGTGTGTGTGTGTGTATGTGTGTGTGTGTGTGTGTGTGTGTGTGTGTGTGTGTGTGTTAGGGAGAAAGAGAGAAGGGGCTGTATTGTCCATTTCTTAAAACAAACAATCTATAAACCACCAACAACTATCTTTTTCTTAAATTCAATTTTGCATTTTACGCATGATGGTCCAAAAGCTGTGCGCATATGGAAAAAGTACCCGCCTGGTGGAACGATTAATTGCTACGTAAACCTCCATCCCATAGCTGGTGTTATCCTCTCAAACTTTTAGGAGGATTTGTTTAACGCGAACACATCACTGTGAAATGTTGACCTCTCCTCTTCAACCCTACAGCTAGGAATGTTGATTTACATTGTGGAAGGCTGAAAAACAGCCCAGATGATAACTTACATTTTGAGTAAGTTTCTTTGAGCCTTTTCTCATCCTCTATTGATACAACGCACTTAATCGGTGTTACCATGAGCAGGAAACTCCCCAGACCTGGTAAGCCAAGGGCAACAACTCATAGGGGGGCGGGGGGGGGGCGCCTGTCAAAGCCACCAAATAACAACACACAAAAAAGCTACAACGTAACAACAAACCACGAAAAGCACAAATAAAGACACCGCTCCTTACCCTGTGTTTGCCCCGGTTTGAGAATGATGTTCTGTTTTTTGGAGCACACTCCCCGTCCCTCCAGCAGAGCTTGAAGTGGTCGACTCTCCCCCGGCTGGTGCTGGCAGGTCAAGCCGGAGCCACATCGCCCCGTGTACACTCCACACGGCTGTCCTTCACCGAGGGCGCACGTCATGCAGCAGCCGCAGCCGGGCTCCCTCACCTGTTCCGCGCAGTCCTTCGGCAGCGGCTTGCACAGCATGAGCGCCCCGGTGTCGCACGGCTCGCATCGGACCACCGGCCCCACGGTGCCGGCGAGCCGGGCGAACGCAGTCAGCGCAGCGGCGAGACAAAGCACACATAGACCGGGCATTCTGCCGATTAAGCTGGTCACAAAGGGACAGTATGTGAGTTGTCACGTAGGCTTAAGGGGACTCTCTGTGACACAGCGATCCAGCTAGCCTTCTCCATCTGTATTTTCTTTTACGCGAACTTCTCGTTTTATACAGGCGGAAAAAAGAGCCAACAAGTCACACCCTCCTATGAATAATGGAGAGCCACGATATGAGGAACTGCAACATGAAGTCGGAGGAGAGAACAAACATTCAACTCTTTAAATCCTTAGAATAATTTACTCTTGAGTGTTCAGCAGCGCTTTCATCTTCCCCCTGAAACAAAAAGGTGTTTGTTTCCATCTGGAAATTTGGCCTCTTGTCAAAAGACAGGCAAGTAAAAAAAAAAGTAAAGTGAGTCATGTGAACGTGTTGGTTATATTTCTCTTCACCTTTACTAATATAAATATTTTTTAATGTTACAGATAAGATGCACATCTAGATTTCCACCAGACAGAGAAATAAGCTGCAGCAGGTTAAGGTTTCCTCCGTGTTGACTTTCCCAAACCTCTGGAGGTTTCCACACCACTGGCCACATCCCCTGCTGGCATCAATGGTATGTGAGTGAATGCCATTGGTGGTACCCCCCACATGCAATACTGATAAAACATTCTTCTGGGCAGGTGTGTAGGTGGCCTCCATAATAATGCACTAAAACAATAATTGCTTTGCATATGTGTGTGTGTGTGTGTGTGTGACCACATGCTCAGTAGTGGGTGCAGCCAAAGAGTTATAGCTTTACTGTTCTGGGTTGTAGAAGCTGCAGTGTTCTGATGCACATGTCAGTCAGGACACCAGACACAGCTCCCACGCACGTGCAGACCAGACTGCATACCTCACTCTTTTTGCCAAATATCTTCAGAAGTGGTGCTCACCTTTCACATCTTAAGCAGACCTAGTTTCTGGCACTTTGCACCCCCCCCCCCCCCCCTGCACCTTCCCTGCTGTACGACCCCCATCGACCCCCCAGGATTACAAATTATTAGAAAGAAAATGTTCAGATTCTGCAGGCTCAGCATTACCCACCTGTTCGGCATATCCTCCTGTTCTGCAATAACAAACGCGAGAGGGGGGTACACACTGAGAAAATAAAGCAATCAGTATCAGCCATTGTGTGATTTCAACCACAGAAGCAGAAAAAGTGTTGAGACTGCATTATGAAAAACAAGCAGAGGGTAAGGAAACACCCCCAGAATAGCAAGAAAATATCTCCAGCTAAGATTAGTTTTCTTATTACTTGCCTTTTTTTTCTTTTTCTGCATTTTTTGTATGTCTGAAATATTCAGCTTCTGACTTTTGGCTTGTTTATTGTCTACCTGTCTGCACAGGGTGTGATTTACCTTCAGCACCCTTACCGTTTAAACTAATTCAGCAAAAAGACACTTTTGGTAAGCTCTCTTACACAGTTAGATCAAAGTTTATTTTGTCATACTGTGAAGGTGACAGGGTTCATACTTATGTGCTGTTATTGTTTCCCTGGCTGAAGAAAGCTGCTAACCTGGTTTTCAGACAATATATAAACAGCCTAAATAGAAATGATATTCTCAAGTTTTATGATGTTTCTGCTTGATTAGATATCATACAATGCAGGAGAGATCCCATGAGATAAAAGGTCATAACAAACATTTCACCTTGCCCTACACATCCAATGGGAGGCACCATATTTGAAGATTCAAGTGTCAGAACAGAGTGTGTTGTTTTTGCAGTTTGGGTATAATAGATCAAGAGAAAAGCTGGCACAGACCTGCACCTCTCATTTCTCAAACCATATGTTCAACTTGTCTGTGTTTGCTGTCTCAGCAAACTGTAATAAGACATAGGCTTACTATTTGTCTTACTCAACATATGCACCATTGTCTTTGACATTCTCTTCTCCGCCTCAAGGAAACTGATATTCTCTCGCTATTAATCTCTATGTCGTTACAGCATGTCTGTCTCAGTCAACATTCCTCTATGTTACATTCCCACAATGCAGCACATTGCAGGCCGTAAATCATTAATTGGAAATCCAAAGTCAATGACGGTACTCAGTAACACTGGCACAATGCACTTCATAATTTGAGGTTTTGTGGGAATGAAAGGATCTGGACAGATTTATTTGTTTCCTTCCTCCACATGTGATTTGAGTAGCAGCAAAGAGTCTTGCTGTCATCATGTGCTGTCTTCATATATGAGCTCGTCCATATATCAGCACACGCTGCACTCGCTGACCATGTTATGACCTGCACATCACTTTATACAAAAACCAGAAATTTTACATGCTTTGCACCATGGATCATGTTGACATCACTGTTATTTAGTGTTTAGTCAGTTGGACTGCTTGAAGTTCATCACAGTCTGCTACAGTACGCTTAAAGTTTATCTTGTTTTGGCGTTTTTCACCATCACAGTAACAGTTATTAGGTCAGTGTGGGGGTTGACATTCTGCGTCATTTAATCTATTAGCAAACTTTGTTTTTGATAATTGGTTAATTTCTTTCTTTCTGGCTCTAGGGATTTTCTCTCTCCTTTATGACTTTATAGATTAAGCAATTAATGGATAATCCCACAATTTGGATCTTATATTTTTTATTTGGGCCATCATCGCCCTAATTGACAACTGCACAAACTCTATCTGCTGATGAACACTGTGACAAAGTGTTGTAAGATCATAAAAAAGCCAGTAAGTGGACATTGAGATAAGATTTTTTTATCAAATTGCTGTTTCCTAAGGAATGATCCACACTCACCGTTTCTTTTCCCGCGGCCCTGTACGCAGGATAAGCGGTTGATGATGGATCGTTTCTTTCAGCTATGATAAGTAATTATTACAGAGATGTCAGAACATGGCTATATCACTAATAAGGACGTTCAGTGGAACAAGAAACATGAGCAGCCACGTTGTAAACAAGTCAGCAGTTTAGCCAGATTATTTAAATCACTTTCTCTGAACGTAAAACTGAACATGAGCACATCTAAAAAGTCAAAATAGTCCCTCATTGCACAAGAAAATTGTATGCACATCTACAGTTGTAGTAGTCAAAGTTGAAGCAGTAAGTGGCTCTGTAAACTTTCATGGAGGTTCACAACAATGGACGGACACTTTCAGTAAAAAATTAAGTCTGTTTTTTCTTTCAAATAAATTTGAATGTTGTTGTATGGTTATAACCTTTCTAACAATCTGACTGCTTATGTTTCTTTACCCATCTTTTTAGCTGTGTTCTTAGATCTTAGAGCAGTGGTCGGCAATAGGCGGCCCACGGGCCAGAACCGGCCCGCCAGCAATAATATTTGGCCCGTGGCCAGATTGCTAGCAGAAAAATAAAAATGAAATAAATTGATAGCGGCTAATCCTGAAATAGATCTCAGTCATGACAGCTACAGAGTCTCTGGCTTACTTGACACACCTCTGAAAAAGCCGTCCATAAACGTGTGATTCCAGATTCCCCTGAATTTCCTCAGGGAAATGAAAATTTGTGTTCATAGGTTTATGAATGCGGATCAAACGCCGGGACAGACACGCCCTGCAGCACATGCTTTATTACTAGCATGTGAAAAAGTCCTTATAGGCTAATCAATTTGTTTAACAATTAAGGGAGAAAAAAAGTCCACCGGATTTTGTGATCGATCATACAACTCTCCCCCTAGGGAGTCCCGCGCTCTACCCACTAACCTAAACTTGCACATGAGTATCTAAAGGACTCGAAATAATTTAACTGAAATAATGTTCTGGCCCGCCATGTAACGGCATGTAAATTTGGCCCGATGTCAGACTTATTTGCCAACCACTGTCTTAGAGATTACTTTCATGAGCACCAAGTCACTTTTTGGTCTGAATATTTGATCTGTAATTATCTGCTTGAATTCAAAATTCATGTTTGTCATGTTTAATTTCATTGAACTCGTGATTTGAAAGAGGCGGCGTCAATTTGCGACTGGTAGCAATTTGTCTCATCCCATCCCTCATAGAAATGAATGGGGAGTGAATTCCGGTGTGACTGCAACCTCAATGTATTTTAGGCCAGGCTCAGGGGCGTAGGACTGGGGCGACAAAGGGGAATGAGTATGTAGGGCCCTCATGTGAGGAGGGCGCATAACGATGCTAGAATGAATAGCCATGGATGTGGGAGGGGCCCATAGAGAATGCCAATGTACAGGGTCCAGCATTTTGTGCTACACCCCTGGACAGTAATGGACCTAGGGAGATCAATGCTATATGATTGAAATAACGGCCAAAGCTATAAAAACAAGATCCAAGTTGTAATGAATTAATTTGATAATGAAAAGAAAAGTTCTAACTCTAAAAATGTAATCTGGCCTTGTATAAATTTTTAATGAGAATTCAAATGACAAAGGAAAGCAGAGCAAATTACTAAAATATATCCCAAATTTTCCCTTTACACTCTTCATCAGGTTTTTTAAATTAGTTTTACCAGCGTTTCCTCTTAAAAACATTTTCTCACAGTATTCAGCACATTCCAAGGGTCTAACAGATTTGTAATGAATTAAGCATTCCTTTAAGCAGCCAAACGAAGGCCTTTCTTATCAACAGAATGTATTTCAACTTGGTAAATATCTTTATAACACAGTCCAAATGTTTTAAGATAGTCAGCGTTGTGTCGCACTGCTTTTATTATACTGCTTAGCCAACACAGCCATTTTCAATCTTGACTTTTCCCCCCCCTCACAGTTTGGTTGCTTTACTATCAGGAGAATGATTAAAATGTAATTTTGTTGAATGATGTTGACTGTGGCTTACAGGGAAAAAGCATAAATAATGTGTACTGCCAGCTTCGTGTTGAGGAAAATCATTTGGTGCTCCTTAACTCAGCCAGGGTGCTGACAGCAAAGACAGGCCTCGTCCGTCATGGGGGAACATGAAGATCGGTTAATGAAGCAGGGTTCATTTCTGCAAGCTGATTATTGTATCTGGGATGTTTTGGAACCTTTAACTGACAAGGCTGTGCAGCATGTAGTAAAATCTGTTCAACTTGCAGTTAAAAAATGTTACTATTAGTATAATGGATGTTGGAAATCTGGTATTTCCATCATAATCAGAATTGACATCTAGCATTACAATCTAATGCTTTTCACTTTAAAGAAGCAAAGAAGATGAAATATATAATATATAACCGTATAAGGATGCCAACTTGGTTGGTAGACATCTGACCTTGTTAACATCCATAGACCCCATGCATTTGTTCTAAGGTTGGGACTGTATTGTTTTCAAGAAAGTTAAAATCCTGTAGTTATTGTTGTAACCGTATCTGAAATACCCTTTTCTGTGGATAGGACCCAAGTAAATAAATGTGTCAGTTCAGTCCTGTTTAGTTTTCATGTGTTTTCCAACTTGGACTAGGAAAGTTTCCACATCCTCAACAACCACCGCCTTAGTGACTTGGGTATGTGCTTTCTTGGAAAGCACAGGACTGACCTTTGCGTAAATGTTCCAGAAATGATAAGAGTTCCCATTATAACATTGAAGACTTATTGTAAATTGCACAAGTTGTCACCCTTTTTCTAGACATAAAATTGTGTAGCTTTTATTAAAATCTATTAAATGCCACGCATGCTTTCAAACCGTCGTTCTTTATTGATTACTGTAATGGGGGCTGCTGTACAGGAATGAGCTCTTCCTGTTATATCTGTTTTCAATAAATTGGTGGAATGAACATGGCCTGACCGCTCTCTGTCACTGTCTGCATGACATGGTTAGAGAAACATCTGGAGGCAAGAAGAGGAAGACAAAAAGAGAAATGTGTAGGCCTGAAAAGGTGAAGAGAGAACCAAAAAAAAGTGAACTCACTGTAGGTTTTTAATAAAGGCAGCTGCATGTGGGAGCAAAGAGAAGCAAAGAGGTTAGGGTTCGAGCATGTGTTATGATGTGTTTGTGGTAAAGTCTGCGCCATTTGTTTGGGCTGCAGTTAGATATGCCTGGCAGCTCTCAGTAGGAGGTCTGACTCCTGCCCAGCAGAGGCTCACTCTAATTGGTCAAACAGGCAGTGTGGCACCTTGGATTGAACTTGTGCCAGGAGGCTAGTTATGGCATACTTAGCAACATACTGAAGAAAGATCCCAGTCATGTGCTCACAGTCACTGACTGTCAGCAGTCCTCCTTGCCGGATGGAGGAGGAGACTGCATTGGAAGGAGATACAAGGCTAGACAATCTCGCCTGAAGCTCTCAGGTTGACCAACTCAAGTGACACTTTCCTGAGAGTGCGCCAGTTCCAGGCTGCTAAGAGGATCAGTTTCCCCTTCCTGTCCTGACACACATACCCAGCTAGCGCCACTCAGAAGTCTTCAGGTTTGCCGCTCACCAGGCACAATCGTTTCAAACACTCTTCCACGCTTTCTAAAAGCCATGCGGCCCTGCAGCAAGGACGGGATCAGAGAGTGATTCACTGCAAAGACAAAGTCCCCGCTAAGAGGATTGAGATCTAAAACCTAACTCTCACATATTCTAGCTGTAACTACAGGTAGGTAGCGGGCAAAGACCAGAGGTACAGTAATACCACTTCAAACACAAGAGTAGTAGTGATTATTGAGGAATGCATTGGGATTGGGGGGAGGCGCAGACAGGTGTCTAATCTTGGATCTTAGATTGGCGAGTCACATGTAGTGATGTCATCTCCAGAGAGCCGGGCACGTGTTCCAAGTCAACAGATCCTTATGAAAAATCTGTGAATTTAGAGAAGGGAGGAAAGAAGCCATCTGCGAAAACAGATGTTTCACCCAAATTACAAACTTTAAAAAAAAACTTTTAATGATGTCTAACAATCCAATGCTGACAGTTTTCAATGTGACTATTTTTAAAAACTTCACAAATGAAATCCCATTTACCGCCACTGTTTTGGGGTAGTAGCATACATCTCACAGACCGACAGAGCTGTAGATTTGAGTCTTTAGACTCTAGATTTATAGCTGCTCTAATCTAATATTTTTATATTAACAGTAGATGAAATCACTATGAGTAATGGCGAAGGTGTTGCTCTTAGTGACAGAGCATTATTACGCGACTCTGCTTTACTCCCCACCTCTAGTCCTAAGCTCTGTGGAGCATTTCAGCATCCTTCAGCTTTGTTTTGTTTTTTCTGCCTGCAACTTTACTCTTTTGGTTCACTCAGTGCTCTCATCAGCATTATTATGTAATTGACAAAAGGTCTGATAAGGCCACTTTACGCTGCCAACCCAGCACCAAATTATTTCAGGTTTTTACCTGGTCCTGGAAAAGTACTGACCAAACCAGCCAGGCCTCGCATATCTACAAGCCTTGAGTATTAAATTATTAGGCTTAAATGCACTGAAAGTTTTTGATCTCAGTTTAAAAAAACCCACAAAAAACACACAAAAGATAAAAACGTTCAAATGTTCTGTCACTTGTGACTTGAATTCCACTTGCCCACCAAGTATTTGAGGTGTGACTTTTACTCACTCCAAAGGACTTAAAAAGAGCTCTGCAAATGAATAATATTTTGGCATTTGGGTGAACTGATGGTTTACATTGTTATTACATAGAGATGATGAACAGCAATTGGAGCTTACGGATCCGAAATCAAAAGATGAAAGCTAAGAAAACACACTTTCTTTCTTTGTACCTGATAAAGGCACAGGTGTTAGCGTGACAGAAAGTGCTGCCAAAGAGGCCAAAGTACAGCCATTATGAATGAATGTAACCCCTGTATATTTTGACACATGTTGGAGCCTGACCTGACACTGAGCAGGTGTGTGCCAGAATGGGCTAAAAGGCAGCATGTCCTGCACACCAGCTGCAGAGTGGCTCTGGCTGAACCCTGCCGCCTGCTAAACCTGTGCGGCTGACGTGCTGTTTGGATTGCGAGTGACTGATTAGGTCGTGATGTGGAGCCCTTCCACCACAATGTGTCTTAGCTGCTGCACTCAGACAGCTAACAACTTATCTGAGCAACACCTAGCTGTGGCCTAATGGATGGCTTCCATGTTGGACATGTGGAGAGGCTGACGGGCTGTATAGGAAAATGTAGGTGTGGCCATAATGTTAGATGTGTCAGATGGTGTACGGAGCAACCTCTCAGACCCCTACTTTATTGGATTCTGTTGTTAAACCAAAAACTTGTTTTTTTCTTATTAATTATTATATTGATCATTTTATCATTTAATGAATAAAATGGCAATAGTGGATGCCCATACAGTAAGAGCTTAAGATGCCATCATGTTCTATTCAACTAACAGCACAAAACACAAAAGTTATTCACTGTACAATGGTACATTACTTACTAAAGTAGCAGAAACTTTTATTTGAGACACTCTTGCCGCATAATCCAGTTCTTCACACATCTCATCAGGCCCAGTATATTCCAAACACTAATATTTTTGCAAAAGATTGCAAGAATGGTGCAGCTTCTACTTTGTCACAAGCAAGGTCGATATTAATATTTGTTTGTTACAACTATCCATGCTTATAATTGAAAAGCTGGGTATTTAGCTATATTTGGGAGACATAAGACAAATATTGTTAAGGTCGGTTGTGTGCTCAGGCAGATAATAGGTTGTAGGACCCAGAAGCAGACTCCAAATATAATTTATTTAACAAAGTCACAGAGGTGAGCACACTACAATAAGTGGTAGGAACTCGAGGAAGCCCAAACAAACCAAGGTCATCCAAAGAACAGGCAGTAGTGACAAAATATTCCAAATGCAGGGAAACAAACAAACAAAGGACTGAGCACATTTAATGCAGGGGCAAACGAGCGAGGAAGGAGCAAACAGCTGATACATCAGGTAATCAGGACAGTGTGAAACTAGACACTGACACCAGACACAGACGATTTCACAATAAAACAGGAAGTAAATCATTTGACAACAAACCAGGACGGAAGTAACAGAATACAACGGAACTCATGCATAACTAACAGACAAAACCTAAACAAGAACACAGAACTAGAACACGGGGACAGGGAGTGAATCAACAACTAACAAAATGAAACGAAAATACAGAGACAGGGAATGAAAACATAGACACACAGAGGGTGGATTAATCAAAATACAACCAGAAAAAAACATACAAAACCCATAACAAATTTTGTATCCGTGCAGCACATAGGCCTACTGTATGTTTGGAATATACTGCTTTTAATCAAATTTTTGCCAACATTTGGCTACTTGCACAGCTTACATTTGTTGCTACCATGTTTTGCTGATCTGTTGTTTACAACTTGCTACAGTAAACAGATAGTCAAGCCAACAATAAATTCAGAGCTCTTTATTTAGCTATATTTTGCCCCAAAATATTAGTGTTTGGAACATACTGAACATGCAAATGGACAAAGGAGTGGGAATGGTGTAAGATAGGTTTTAGAAGTGTCCATAGACATGTTGATACTTTTGCCATAAGTCTTTAATGCCTCTTGAATCCATCATAACTAATGTCAGATGTCAATGTGAGCCACAAACCTTTAAGAGACATCTTTTGGTGAGAGTTTGATACTCAAAAATAGGTTTTCTGTAGATTATTCCTTCTGAAATTACCAAAAGTATGTGTGTGCTTCCTTTCTATCCATACGGACACGTGTAACTGTGCACCACACATCAGTGATTCTGTAAAGGGCATTTTGAGCTCTGCAAATTGGGCAGAAAAGAAGAGAGAGAGTGAGTGTGTTTGGGGGAGAAGTTAATGGTTCCCCCCGCTTATCGCTTAGCAGAGAAGCAGAGTGAGGCGGCGGCGGTGTGGTGTTGGTGGTGGGGGGGTGGCAGTAAAGTAGGTTGGTAAAGTAAATAAACTGTGCTTCTCTGTCAGCAGTGGAAAAAGAGAGAAGAATGAAAATGTAAGCTCACTCCATCTTTTAAATCTGTGTCCCCTGCAGGACCTTGAGAACAACATATTTCCCATCAGACAGCAGATTAATCTCATGTAACTCATGCACGGTCACATCCTGGTCGTCTTGCAGTGCTGGGAAGGTTGTGTGGGAGTCCAGCGGCAGAGGGATGACATTGGAAGATGGAAGGAAGGGCTCGGTTCATGCATCATATCATCTGATTTGCGGGGGAAAGAGCAATAATAAAGATGCAGGGAATAAAAGCAATATTGTCGTCTGGGCCGACATCTCTCTGAAGAGCAGCCTCTTATAGGTCGTGTTTCCATGCCACCTGCTCTGCATTACAAGGCTGCAGAGACGCTGACAAGGAAGTCTTCAGGCTGGTGTTTATGCAAACCCTGTGAGACAAGTAAAACGGATCAGTTTTCTGATGGAGTTATCAATGTGGACAGATTAATGAACAAACTAACTGCTTCACATTGGAAAAAATAATAAACCTGTGCAGATTATAGGCTTTAGAGCTGTAACAAAACTACTAGTACAAAGACACAGCGGAGAAACTTCCGAAGCATGACAATGAAAGGTATTACATAAAAACAGACAGCTCCACTTGAGATTAATCTTAAATTTCAGTCGTTGTTAAAAATTATATATTTATTGTCATATCCTCACATCTATTGCCAAGAAAACAACGGATATTGTACATGTCGTACATACGTACTGTATTAAGCTCACATTGCAGTGTGACTGTTATTTAATTGTAAAGTATACTCATAGTTGTAATCCTCAAGGCCTCGGTATGCTTCAAACAAACTAAAACATACGACACGTACATCATATTTGATGTGTAAAACAGTGTAGTCAAGACCACCAAAACTGAGATCAAGTCATGACCGAGACCAGAGTGCATTGAGATTGATGATGCGTTCCATTTACCTCAGAAGTCACAGGTGGAAGCTGGGAATGACATCACACCCGAGTTGACGGCGTTCAGCTAAGTCAAAACACCTCGCTTGGCCAGCTATTCTTTACAACTAGCCAAATTAGCCATTGTTAGCAACGCCAGTTGATAAACGCTTTGTGCTGTATTTAAGTATACCAAACACAGTAGCACAGACAGCAGTTGGATATTTCTACGAGACAGAAGTATATAGAAGTGCTAATAAACAGTATAAACTTTTACTAACTGTTGCTACTCAGAGCAGCCATCTTGAATCACAAAGCCAGGGGTAGAGCGGTTCTTCAGACTTTCCGAGTAAATCCAACTTAAGGGGGTGTTCCCTTTGAAATTTCAGACTTTGAATTCGAAAAATTCTGAATTCCCATGTCAAATGGAACGAACAATGAGACAAGAACAAGACCAAGTTAAGACCAGATTACTAAAAAGAAAACCAGGGACATTTCCGGTTTGGTGGGCAATATCATCATCATTAAAATATTTAATGTTATTATCTATGAAATAGGAAAAATTGATAAAATTGGGTATCAGCCTATTCAGTCCTCCAAAGTTGGTATTTGTGTTGTCGGCAGAGAATGCCATGACTTTGTTTACCAGGTAAAATCTTTCAATGACCACCAGGATGTTACAATTTCCTCCCGCTGTCTCTCCTTTCAATTCAACAACATCATACCTATATATACATACATTCATTCAGCTGCCACTTGTATCCAAAGCAACTTACAATTGCTATATATGTCAGAGGTTGTGCGCCTCTGGAGATACTAGGGGTAAAGTTTCTTGCTCAGGGTGTCTCACAGTGGATTCGAACCTGGGTCTCTCACTCCAAAGGCATGTGTCTCATCTCCTGCTACATCACCACAAGCAAATCAAGCAGTTTTGTTCCAACAGATGTGCTGCCTTTATATATCTTACATCATCTTACATCTGCTATTGGTCCATGATTGGACACATGAGTGGACAGGGACACAAATTCAACCTTGTCTAGGTCCTGTGTTACCAAAGTATTTGCCCATGGTCTAACAAATTACTCACTGTGGTGTCACATTTTGTCATAGTACATGTAAACTTTGGCTTCTGTGTCTGTGGCTGTGCAGTCCATGGGTCTGTGTCGTAGTATGCAAAGTGACCCTCCTGCCCTGCTAAAACATATTGTTGTGTCACTCTTCTTAAGCTCTTAACTTTTTCTCCTCCTCCTCTTTCTTCTTTTTCTTCCTTTCCTACTCTTTACCTTTCCGCCTCACTCTTCTACACTCTCCTTGCTATACTCCCTTAATTTTTCCTTCTTGCTAAAATAATCTTTTTTATATCAAAAACATTGTCTGGAATAATAGACTGGCAAGCTTTATAATCATGTCTTAACCTTTCCTCATCTGTCTCCTTTATTCTTCTTTCTATCCAGTCACCCTCCTCTCTTTCCTTTACACTCTACCTGGCTTGGAAAGAAGAAGAAAGAAGTTTGTAGTGATGTTATGGATTCACTTGACTCTTGGTAGCTTCTGGCTGAGTTTTCCATGTGGGTATGCGCTAAAAGTACCATGAGCAAGTATTTAGTCGAAGAAGAAGACTGATATTAAGCTGCTATAATGAGCAGCTCCATCTGTTGGCCGATAATCACAACGCAACGCGAGATGTCAGCTGGTAGGCTCTGCTGCCTGGCTCCATAAAAAATTATTTCACTTTGCGGTCTCTTTTTAATGCACAGCTAAAAACAGAGATATTTCCGGAGACGGCTCCAGACAAGGACAGGCCACCAAAAACGTGTACTGTGCAGTAGTAATGTGCAGATCAATACTAAAGTATCGATATTTCTGATACCAACATTTCCTGCTCTAGGATTGATAGTCATACAAAATGATTGATATCTAAAATCAGTGCTTTATCATAAATATTGTACTGTCACAAGGATGGTCTGAATATTAGTATTATTATTGAAAGGAAATACTTTTCCTTCCGCCTTTCAAAGTCATGCTTGGGCTATGGCTCTGAAACGGAGCTTCTTTACATTTCCCACGACTGAATACTGACTTGGCTGACTGTAAAAGCAGTCACGTCTGGCGGTATTTTAGCTGTGAAGGTAATAATGGCACTGTTTTTGATGTGTGTGCAAAGACAGTGAAATACTTTGGCAACACCGCAAACTTCGCTAAACATCTGAGATTAAGTCAAAATAGTATGATGATGTTAAGAAGCGGCAGTTCTGAGCAGGATATTTTTTATTATAATTAAAGAATATGACAGTAGTTTAATGTCTTGTCATTATGCAGCTATTATTTGGAATTGGGAAGGCTACAGCATCCATCCAGACATCCATTCATTGTCAACTGCTTATCCTGCGTACAGGGGGGCTGGAGCCAATCCCAGCTTACATCGGGCGAAAGGTGGGGTACACCCTGGACAGGTCTCCAGTCCATCGCAGGGCCACACATAGACAAACAACCACTCACACTCACATTCACACGATTTTAGAGACACCAATTAACCTAGCCTGCATGTCTTTGGATGGTGGGAGGAAGCCGGAGCACCCCGGGGAGAACCCACGCAGACAACCTACAGCCAACTCCTTATTTCCTTCATACAAAAACAGGAGGGGGGAGGTCACATTAAACTAGAAATAAAATATGTAAAAAAGTATTGGTATCGGTAGAGTACGAGTCCCACACTGCATAACACACATTACAAAGTTAATGTTAATTTTCTTACCATAACACTGAAATAACAATCATCTATCTTTAAGGTGATTTACACTGAAGAGGGTAGATGTGTATTTTTCTTATAAGTAGCGCTCTTTAAAGTAACGAGCTGTGTGCTTATGGCCAGGCAAAGCAGCCTATTTAATCACATTTTTCATAGAAGTGGAGGCGCATTGCCCGGTCTCCACTCTCTGCTGACACATCTCTAGCTCTCTCACCCAAGTGACAAATTGCTGGCAAGCAACTGAAACTAGAACCTGAAACGAACAAAGGTAGCCAATATGTATAGCTAATGTTTGCAAAATCTCTTTGGGTGAGGGGTAAAGAGATTTCTGAAGAGTTTTGGTACAGAGGTAGATTTCTAATGTGTGCAAGCTGGCCTTTCTAGCCTAACTTACCTTTCTAATTCTCAAGTGCCAATAAAAAGTTGACGTGGTCCCAGGCCTTTCAGTAAACATTGTATTTGAGAATTTACATGCTGCTGTGTGTTTTCTTTTGGACATTGTTTTGCAGCTGAACACTTTATGGTTTCCGTAGCCAAATTGTATTGCAGAAGACTTGGCTGACATCTCCTCCCAGACAGCCACATCATTTTCTCCTGCTCCCCCTGCATTCTCGTAACACGAGTGTGTGTGTGAAGGCTGGCGGGGGAGGGGTGACAGATGTTAACAGTAACAAAAAATTAAAATTAAAAATGAGTAATAGTTATAGGTCAATAAATCGTTATTTTCTCAAATCCACTCCGCGTCTGTACCGGCATTTGAGTCCGCCTAGTTAATTGGTATATAATTCAAACTAACGACGTGCGAGCGGTGTGCACTTAACTAGTCACGTTCATTGGTGTAGCCTGATGAAGCAGAGACCAAATTAAACAAGACAAACCTTTTTAAATAATAAACCATTCCAATCATATCCATATCAAATAAAAGGACTGTGTTTTATTCTTTTTTTCACATTTTTCACAACTCAAGTTAAATTCATGACTACTTGTACTTCTATTTGAGTAATTGTTTTTGCAAAGTAACAATGCTTTTACAATAGTACAGATTATTTATCCACCTATGCAATGAAGTGATATCCTTGCGGTCTTAAATTCAAGGTCGTCTTTGTCTGAGACAGAGACAAGATCGAAAAAATACGCAGTCAATTCAGACACGAGACTGAGACCTTGAAAAAGTCAGATATTGAGTACAACGACAACACAACATGTGTGACACGTCATCTGAAAGTAGTTGTTGTGTCGTATAATTGAGGATAATGGTCGCACCTTTTGAGACAGTCTCTGGTGTTCCACTCGCAATTGGACATGAAAAGTGGCAAATGAGTTGCGTGAAGAATGAGCTTGAGTACAATAATTGTGGAATGCAGACACTTCAGACACCATTAGACAACCCAACAAGCACTTAATTTGAAACACTGAGGGCTTTGCGCCCTACACATTCTTACTCCCGACTTGTCACATATTGACCCTTGGTCAAGGCCCTTTGGCGTCATTTGTAGACGTTTAGGGCTGCGCGGTCAAGTTAGCAACGTTAAGTGTTATGACCCTGGATGACCACCCGCATTGGTGGTTCAGTGGTAGAATTCTCGCCTGCCACGCGGGAGGCCCGGGTTCG